CTTGCAAATTTTCAATTTTTTTTTCTAATTCAACATCCATATAATTATATAAGTATTCATGCAACATGCAACTATTTAGGATTACTATACGATTACCATTCATGCAACATGCAACTATTTAGGATTACTATATGATAACCATTCAATAAAATCATAAAACAAAATCATCAAAGAACGACACATAATCAAAAATCAATAATCGCATGCATTTGCTCCCCAAAAGTTCTTCCATGCACATCAATGTCTTATGATAATTCTCTTTAACTTGACTATATAACATAACTTTTAAGCGTTCGTGATTGACTTTTCTTCCAGTTCTACACACAGTTATTCACTGTTGATAACCAGTTTGCTACTGCCTTAAACATCTCTTGTATTCCGGTCTGTGTCTGTTCTTCCCGAATTCTGTTACAAAGAGGGATGGGAACAGTTGTTGTCCTTGGTGACTGATTGATGGTACCAATTTCAGGTGTTGAAAGAGAGCTGGTAGTATGTGACGAGAGGGGTTCTAATTCTTCTCCATCAATTTTCAACTCACATTTTCCAGGAACAGCCAAGGTTTTCTCTGCACTGGTCTCTGTTCGATTTCCACAGTTTTTTTCATTCCAAAACAATGACATAAATTTTTATATTTTGGGTTGCGTTTATAGCAAGATACAATTCCAATAAAAAATAAAAACGATCAGCCAATAAATATTGTTATATAATTCCAGATTGGCCAGGCCTTGTCTTATGCAATTCATAAATCAAACATCCCATAGAAATTTATCTAACACTTCCTAATTTCGGGGACAACTTATGATCAGTTCGTATCGTAAATTTAGCATTATGTAGATCATAATCCAACTTTTGTAATGCGTAATGAATTGCATATGCCTCACGTTCTACTACACTCCACTTCATTTGTGAATTTGACAGTTTGTGTGATAAAAAGAAAATTGGCGGTTCTACTTTTTCTTTGTTTTCATCCTCATGTACCTGTACTAAACCTGCTCCTATCGCCGAATCACTCGCGTCTGTGTAAAGTATATATGGTAAATTTGGATCTGCATAAGCTAACAATGGAATCGTCGTTAAACTTTCTTTTAAAAATTCAAAAGCAGTTTGACATTCAGATGTCCATTTAAACTTTGCATTTTTTTTTTGTTAATTTGATTATAGGTTCAGCAATTTTCGAAAAATTTGGTATAAATCGTCTATAATAACTACACATTCCCATAAAACTCCTAACTTCTTTTACAGTACGAGGCTGATCCATATTTTGTATCGCACGAACTTTATCTTCATCAGTTTTAATTCCTTTAGGAGTGATCACAAATCCTAAATATCTTGTTTCTTCTTGGAAAAAAATTACATTTAGATGGTTTTAATTTCAGTCCATGTTGTCTTAACCTATCAAAAACAATCTTAATATGTTCATAATGTTCTTGCCTCGAACGCGAGTATATCAGTATATTATCAATATAGGCTATTGCAAAATTTTCGAGCCCCTTAAGAACGCGTGCCATCAAATGTGAGAAAATACTTGGACAATTGTTAATTCCAAATGGCATAACGTTAAATTCAAACAACCCTCTATGGCAGACAAACGCTGTCTTCTCTTTATCTTTTTCGTCTACCAGAAACCTGCCAATACCCTGATTTCATATCCAAAGTTGTAAAATATTTCGAATTGTCTAATCGACTCAACAGATCATCTATGAGGGACAAAGGCCAGCTCATTGGCTTTGTGATTTTATTAAGTTTTCGAAAATCAACGCACAATCTTTTTGTTGCATCTTTCTTATCTACTAAGACAATAGGAAACGACCAAGGACTGTTGCTTTCTTTTATTATATTATTTCGTAACATCTCGTGAATCGCCTCATCAACAACAGGTCTAGACGTTAATGGTGTTCGATACGTCTGCTGTTTAATCGGGAGATGATCACCTGTATCGATGGTCATCTTTACCGTATCTGTATGTCCTAACTCTGAGTCCCTTACCGCAAATAAATCATGATTTTCCTTCAAAAGATTAAGTAACTTAAATCGCTCAGTATTTGGTACATTAATATTCGCAAATTGTTCATTTAAATTGGCATTAGCCACGTGTGAAGTCTCCTGTAAGACTTGGTCTACTGACGCCATTGTACTGTCAATCTCAGCGATATCGTTCCCAATAACACACCCTTTGTTTAATCGAAACGTTTTGTTTGTACTATTTACAATACAAATTGGAATCATTTTACCTACCGAACTGTTTAACCTGTTTCATGCTGAACACCGAATGACTCACCATAAATCCTGGCTCGTCACTTACAAACACTTTAGTGGCTTGTTCAATCATGAAAATGTCCTGCCTACTGTCATAATTATGTCTCTTCAATTTTGCGTTAATGATATACTTCCTCTGAGGTTCTAAAATTACTTCGTTTGCTACTCGCAAAACAGAAGATATTATTGCATCATTATCTAAGGAAACATACGTTTTACCAATTTTCATACATCCCACGACGATAACAAATTCCACACGTGCGGGGTCTTATATGGCCAATATCCATGGGTTCATGTTCTCTACTGTTCTGACCTGGTTGGGTATGCGGCGCTCCTAATCTCAACGCGAACCTTTTTCTAGTATGTTGTTCCTGTCTAGCCATCTCAACTGTTGTGATAAATGTTTGTGGATCTTCACGCAATATTTTTGTTTTTATGTACTCTTGCTGAAGACCGTCAACGAAAAAACTAATCAATTGCCTATCAAATTCCGGCTGTCCACTATAATCTGGAAAGGCTTCACCGGCTAAGGGTAAAATCCTCTCCGCGAAAACCTGTACATTTTCATCGGATTTTTGTTTGATTTTCCGTAGTAACGCCAACGCTTGTTGGTATTCGTACTTTCTGAGAAAGTATTAATTAATTCTGTTTTGAATGCATCCCACGTCACATTTTTATTCGCTACCATCGGCCTTTGAATAAAATTACTCACCACTCCCCTACTTGACTGAAGCGATATTTACTTAACCTTATTCTCCGGGACTGCAGCGAGAATATTTTTCGATATTTTTAACCCATTTCTTAAATTGTTTCGGATCGCCTTTGTATGGTTCAATTATATTCGCGACCGTATTCGTGGAAATTGAAAAAGACAAGCCTGACAATTGGGTACATAAATTTCTGAAAATTTCCTCAGCCATTGTTTCAGATAGAATTTAGCGAAAACCAAAAAAGAGATATTCACAGAATAATTAATACTATCTGTCCTGGTATACGGCTCCAAATCTAACTGTAGTACTATCAGATGGTCAATCTTCAATATTCATTCTTCACGCTGTATTTTCTTCCGTGACGAAGTTACAACTACAGTTCAGGTTCTTTTTCTTAAATACTTTATTTCTACAAACTGGGAGTGTTACAATTCTTCCTATTCCCAAATAACTAAACGGCTGGTATGACCGGCGGAGTGAGCTCTGCCGAATGCTATTTCCCCACCCTATTTTATAGGTGCCTATTCCTTTGTCCGAGGTGTTAATCTAAAGACTGATAATAACTAACTTCTAAATATGGAAAGGACATGCACCCCAAACTGAACATCGCCAGGGATTGTTACCTTATTTGGTCAACAAATATGATATATGTTTTATAACAAAGAAAAATGTGAATGACCAACATCCTCATTAATCTATAGCTCAGTTAACGTATCAAAATAACCGGCATATACTTTCTATATCTGTGGTTATGAAGTTAGAATCAATAATATGAAAGATAACGCTATTGTTCTAGCCATCATATTTCTACATTCTTGTCTTTAGGCCCCATGTCTTGTTATTGTCACAATATTCATAACCAATTTTAATTTGCGTTTCAGAATTAACTTATACCATAGCTAATATTTTGACAATGGAGAATAATTAATCAAAACCCTAATATTATTTTACATAGATGTTTCAAAGCACAAATTCTTTCCTTCCACATTACTACACTATGAACACAAGTGGAACACATAATTAACATCGTTCGCAAAATTAGCTTTCTATATTTAAAAAGTACGTGGTAACAAACTCGCTCTAGTAAATATATTTAAGGCTAGGTGGTTAGCGTAGATTTAGTAAATTATTAACAAACTTTCTAAACATTATTTTTCAGCTAACTGCTTACCTTGGCAAATAGCTTCTGGTCTTCTAACTGTAACCCCTTCATGAAATACTGATCCTAGTAATCAGAATCTATTTTTGTATCTCTTCTGTTAGCAATTGGGTATATACACTTTATCCCTGATATTATTTTCAAATTCGTCATAGCGTTACATGAAAATGATTAATATGGTCTGAGATTCTGCATCATCTGGAATCATAGTCGATCATAACCTTTTCATTTCCGTCTTTTTTTTCAGCCACTCTCTGCAGCAATGATCCTAAATTTATCGTATCTGAATGTATTCAAGACTTGTGAACCTTCATCCTCATTGATTCGATGTGAATAATACATTTCTTCGATACTTTTGGTATTGAACTGAGGGCCTACGTGTTGGTATCCAGAAGCGCCTCATTGGTCGAATCACGTCACATGACTATTTTAATCAACAAGGAATCTCTCAGAACACTCCATTGTGTCTGATTGGGCGGAAATATGGAGCCCGAAATTTAAAAGCGGCTTTTATCAAAACTGCAGGGGTTTTTGTTGGGTTTTTTTGGGTGGGGGGGGGGGGTGAGGGGGGGGAATGACGTGTACAATATCATGGGAAGTACGATCCATAACAATTGTTCGTGATAACAATTATTGATTGGGTCGGCAATTATTCCTTTAGCTGCACATTGATAGACGTCGATATTTGAATCATTCAGATAGGAAGATAAACCACAGCATGTGGTTACTAATTTATAATTTCAATCTCGGTATTTACGTTGGATGATTGATGGATATTATTACAACTTGGGAATACAAAACGTTATGATTTATTTCAAACAAATATGTATTATTTTTATATCATACTCTAATATATCTTTCAAATCGTATATTATCTAAACAAATAATCTATATACATTTCAACAGTCAAAAATAAACATACCTAAGAAAGACCATTAAGGTCAATCAAATGAAAAATAAAATCTAATTATCTTGTAAATACAAGATGGAAGCCCATGAGTAATTTATTTCAAGGTCGCCATATACTGATTTATCGAATAACTAGGTCAACGCCGTACTTTATTTTATGTTACAGAATCGGCACATTCATATAATGCTCCCATTAATATCATTCGTTATTTTCATGCTCCAAATGAAATGAAATGAAATTGGGTTTAACGTCTTGCTGTTTTACTCCGATTGGGCTAATGAAGACGGGCAGTGTGCTATGAGGGAAATTTTACTACGTCCTACGTTTTCATTTGATTGACCCTAATGGTCTTCCGTACATATCAGTGATAACAAACATAAATATATACATGTGATGAGAATGTTACTGCTCTATACAAGTTATATTAATAACTGTAATCTAGTTGAATATCCAATATATGTTGTGTTGATAAATTTTACAACGGGAGTCACATGATACAAATGCAACAAGCTATTTTTTTATTTCTTTTTTTATTTTTTTGTTTTTTGTTTGGCAGAAAAATGAAAGGTTATAATAACACAGATTTTTCTCCTCGTTGCGTTTATAAACAAATGATATTACAGGAGGATGCAGTTAAATAATCATTAATATGATTTGTGAGATCCGAATTCCTTACCATCTACTGACAGGGATAGGACGTAACTTGTATTTAAAACAATACTTAACCTACAACAGCCTCACCGATCAACAGTGTACCTGCTCCATTTCAGAATATTTGCACACACATTACTTTATATCACTTCTAACCCTATATACGGATAATGTGAGAGGAGGGAGTACCGTGTATCCAGACCACAGAAATTGTAAAAGGGTATTACTATAACAACTAGTGAATCAATCGATGTGACAGATAATGAAGACCAATGAAAGATCCGAACATTGGATAAACTGTCGTCAATTTAGGCCAGTTTTCCTATTTTAAAGGGTTAAAATGTATTTCCTTAAAATTAGATTAGAACTGTTCGGCGATTTAATGAAATCATTCAAAAATAGAGAATCGAGGCTAGGCCTCGAATATACCAGTACTGTGGTTACGACAATAAACAATCAACTACTCCGAATAAAGTAATTTGATTGAGATTTTCAATATATTCATTTTGCATTATATATTTTTGAACTATTATAACGAGAACGGTCAACTCTTTACCTAAATCTTACATAATACCTTTTTAATGTAGCAATATTGCCGTTTTTCAAATTTTTAATTATTATGGTGTAATATTACTTGCTTAACAACTTAAAATATAAAACACTGGTTGTACTTTAAAATGATATTTATATCTCATTTCATAACAAAGTAAAAATTCTGAACTACGATATCTACTTGTCGATATTCTGTTAAATAATTAACTATATATACTCATATCATCACGCGAAATGTTTAATGCAAATTAATTTCAACATCGGTTGTCACAGAAACTAGATCAAAAAGAGAATTATTATTCAAAATAGTGTATTAGTCCTAATATTGTTGGAGTGGTGTGCTAACCATGTTGCTTACTCTCGATTGTCCGCCTCCTCATCACTACTATCTGGTGGTGTTGGTTGAGTTGGTCCACGTTTAGTATAATCAATACCACTATATTCTACAGCTTCTTCCTGGCCTCGTATGGTTGTAGTTGGTTGGTGGCCATCAAAATCTAGATCGGCATAAACTGTTTCGGTAGGACCAGGCTTTAATGAGAAGAATCCAAATACAAACCATATAATCAAAATACACAAAAACATGAACTAACTGTTCTTACGTCATATTTGTTGATACGAATAACAGGATGAACACTCATCTTGAGGTGTCCAGTTTATCCAAGTTGTTAGGTCTAAAGTGTTTTGGGGGCACACCTTAGTACATGTTTAATTTACTAGTAACTCCATGTTCCAAGTTTCGTTACACTTAATCTACAATCGGTAGCAGTATCCGAATTTAGCAACAGTTAGTTAATTGCCACTTGGTCAGTAAGCCTAACACATGGGGCTAATACCAAGATGAAAATTGTCAACACCCCGCCCTCTTCCTGATCTGAACATGGTTAGTTGGGCTGGTGAAATTTTGGTAGTTGAAAAACATTAGAGACACAAAGTTTAAACGATTACAGTGAATTGGCACAGACGAAAACTGGAGAGTGAGAAAATATACCTGAAATTTACATTCGCAACTTTTGGCAGGAAGTTTTTATTTGATACGGTTGTGATTTCCCCGGTGTTAATAGACATGGGCAGTTGTACTATGTTAAGCTTGCAATTTTGCAAATTATATTATTTTCCAAAATTACTGTCATTATCATTATGTTAATAACAGATCCGATGGTTCTTTCCTATCGATAGTCGGTGTGCTTTATAATTAAGAGTTAACTTAATGTAACATTAACGATCATACTACGACGTTCCCAGATTTTATTTTTGTGATAGAATATGGTAAAGCTCTCATTCATTAATATAAAATTTGGAATCTATGTGCTAATGAAGACGGACATGCGCCATGCAGTGTGCAGTGTGGGAAATATAATTATTATTTTAGAAACTCTTCAAGATACATTTATAACACTTCTATATTATTATACTAGTCCGATTGGGTTTGTTACATAATTCTCATCCGTCGGCTTTTCGGGTAGAAATCGTGGAGTAAGCTTTATTTTGAAGGTTTTGATGCTTAATGACATTTCTTCTTAGTAGGTCTTCATAGTATGGGAGGCCATTATTTGAGGGTAGCCATGTTGCGATAATATTCCAACTTATTTTTTTTCTATTTATCAACTGTGATTTGGCAATGTATTAGTATTGGCAGGGGTCGTGACAATATTTCGATCACTTCATGAAGATATTTCCAAGATGGCGGCCATTTTTGGCGGGAAAATTGGACGATGTGCTTATTTCGATTACGTCGTAGCGTTTGGTGTCAATAAATATATTTTCAGGGTCACAAATTCAATTTCTGCCAGTTACAACTGTGTATAATGATTACATGTAGACCCATTTTGCATATTTCGAAGATGGTTGCCATTTTTTGGCGAGAAAATGGAACGATGTGCTGATATTGATTAAGTGGTCGTCTTTGGTGTCAATATATATCTTTTCAGGGGCACGGATTCCATTTCACCCAGGTACAAATGTGTAAAATGATCACATGTTCATCTATTTTGCATATTTTCAAGATGGTGACCATGTTTGGCATGGAAATGGGACGGTGTTCTGATATTGATTAAGCTGCAGATGATGTAGCAGCGGGAGGGACGTCATCAGTTCCAGCAGTAACCTGAAACAACCAAACCACATAAAATAATTTAATAAAATTATTTTCTAAGTATTTGCAGGGGTCCCTGATACCAACCAGTCCATCGTGAGAGGTGGCCCCTGATAGAAATGGCCTTCATATACAAATTAAGTTTTACAGTGCCTGGCAAGATTCATTTTAGGCTCTGGAAATGATACTATGATGAAGTTGAATTTTTTACCCTATGTCATATCATGTATTTGAAGAACTAACCTGAGGCGGTGTAGGAACTTGGCTCTTTTGACAGTCCATTTCCTCATTATTGACAGCATATTGTTAAATTCCTTTTGGAATATTCCATTTGAGACCCAGGCGGTAGCGATGGGCAGCACATATCACCTTTCCATCTAGAATCGACGAATTAAGATCAAAAATCCCACTTCGTCTAGAAATCTGTATAGAGTGCCCTATGGGCAGCACATGTTTTATGTTGCTCTGTGTTTTTGCTAATTATTGTTGTGAACAAGGATTTGGATTTATGTGATTTTTGGACTGGTGCTGTATCACGGTACAAGAAACAACTTTCGCGAAAAATATTCAGAAAAAGATTAATTCATACGGTAGTTTTGGTAAGTTTTATTATTCATATTCACTTTATTGTGAAATAAAATTCTTCATGGACCAAGATTTGCTATAGTGACATGATATACTCGTCAACACAACCATTGTTCTTGTCCAGTCAATTAAGACCGAGGGGATGTAGAGCTGGCAAGAATAAACAAAGATCAATTAAGACAGTCATTAGTGAAAGAGTTCCTATTGTCAAGACCCACCAAAGTGTTAATTTTAATAACTTAATTGATCTGACCCTAAGTGCTCCAACAAAGAAAGTGAAAAATGAGAAAAATTCTGAAAAGTTTAGTTTATGTATATTGAATACCAGGTCTGTCCGAAATAAAACTGATGAACTAAATGAATATGTTGTTGATAATGATGTGGATTTATTTATTGCAACTGAGTCGTGGATTCGCAATGAAGACACAAATTAGTTCCTACCAACTTTGACTCAATATTTGAAAATAGAAAACATTCTAAAGGAGGTGGAATTGCTTGTTTCTTCAAAAAGTCTGTAAAAGTTTCCCGAGTAAGTACAAAAAACATATTTTCAACTTTTGAAATACTACAATTAAACGTACTCCTTGGCAAGAATCATGTAAGAATAGTGTCAGTATATCGCCCTCCTTCAACACGTGTTGTGGATTTCCTGACAGAATTTACTGATCATGAACTAGTCAATAATCTGAATACTAGACCTGGACATTTACTAATTCTTGGAGATTTCAATCTTCATGTTGATAAAGCCAATGATTCGAACATTAAGAAATTTTTACTATTGTTAGACGCATTTAGTTTAAAACAGCATGTGGATGTGCCAACCCATAGACATAATCATATTCTTGATCTCGTGATAACGAGAGAACATGATTCCATTATTAAAGCATGTGATGTTGTTGATCATCAGATATCTGATCACTACAGTTTATTCTGCCATCTTTCATTTCCTAAACCTGAACCAATAAAGAGGACAATAAGTTTCAGAAAAACAAAAAACATTTCTATCGATAAATTTAGAAGTGATATTAATAATTCATTACTTCTGAGTACCATTGCCACCAAGCCGGATACCCACCAAAAAGTGGATCTTTATAATGACGTTCTTTCCAAAATACTGGAAAAACATGCCCCACTGAAAACAAAAGAAATCATTATTCGGCCTAATAAACAATGGTTCACTGACGAAATACGTGATCATAAGGTTAAACGCAGGAAGGCCGAGAAAACATGGAGAAAAACCAATCTGGAAATTCACAGACAAATTTACAATAAGGCTCGAACTACCACTAATAATTTAATTGAATTGGCTAAACGATCCTTCACTAAGGACTGCCTGTTATCAAACAAGCATAATCCACGTGAAGTCTACAAAATTACAAACAGTCTGCTAAAACCAAGAGAAGTAAAGGTTCTGCCATCGGTTCAAAATGATGCTAGCCTATCAGATCAATTTTCTGAATTTTTCCACGACAAAGTCTCTACCATTCGACAAGGACTCAGTGTAAATAAACCAACAAACATATTCAATGAGAAAAAGTTTGAAGGTTGAACGCTTGAGAGCTTTTGTCTAGCAACAGAAGATGAGATAAGAGAAACAATTCAGAGATCAGCCTCAAAATCATGTTCCCTCGATCCTCTGCCAACATGGATACTAAAGAAGTCTGAAGTGGAGTTAATTCCAGTGATCACCCAAATCGTGAACACGTCTTTAGTAGGCGCAGAAGTTTGTGAAACGCTTAAAACAGCCCATGTGACACCCCTCATTACAAAATCAACCCTTGATCCTAATGTGCTAAAAAATTATCGACCTGTGTCGAATTTATCTTTCATTTCGAAAACTATAGAAAAAATTGTCCTTAATCGTTTTAAATATCATTTGTGTGAAAACAATCTCTAAGAAAAATTTCAATCAGCATACAAAAAACGGCACAGTACGGAATCCGCCTTACTTCGTGTTCACAATGATATCGTATGTAGCTTGGATCAGAAGAAACCAGTGTCGCTAGTTTTATTCGTGTTCACAATGATATCGTATGTAGCTTGGATCAGATGAAACCAGTGTCGCTAGTTTTATTGGACTTGAGTGCGGCATTTGATACGATAGATCAATCAATCTTACTCGGGAGACTTGAAACTCGATATGGTATATCCGGAGATGCACTGAAGTGGTTTGAGTCCTATCTGAGTGGAAGACAGCAGAGTATTGTCAATCAATGCCTAAAGTTCTTGACTTTGGTGTTCCCCAGGGATCCGTATTGGGACCGATTTTGTTCACAGCATACACTGCACCCATTGGCGATATCATCCATGAGATGGGTCTTAATTACCACCTCTATGCGGATGATACCCAATTATATGTTGAACTTGATCCTTCACCAGATACCACTACATCAGAACTGGAAGCATGCATTGACCGAATTAGAATGTGGATGCACTGCAATTTTTTGAAATTGAACGATGACAAGACAGAAAATATAATAATCGGGAATAACAAGAACATTGACATCAACCATGTGACTATTGGAAGCACAGCAATAACCCCATCCAACTGTGTCAGAAATCTTGGTGTGTTCTTTGACTCGTCCTTAGATATGAAAACCCATGTATCAAGACTGTGCAAAAAGGCGAACTTTCACCTGTATAACATTGGCAAAATTCGATCCTATATTGACCTTGATGCCACTAAAATGTTAATAAACGCTTTTGTTATGTCATCTTTAGATTATTGTAATTCATTATTGTATTCTCTTCCTAAAACTCTTGTAAGTCAGCTACAAAAAATCAAGAATAAAGCAGCTCGAATTGTATCTCTCACCAAACCATCTGATCATATTACACCTGTTCTAAAACAGTTACATTGGCTACCGGTTAATCAACGCATCATTTTCAAAATTAACACAATCACTTTCAACTGTTTAAACGATCCTTTTGCACCATCCTATTTATCCGATTTGATTAAACAATATGCACCTTCTCGTTCCTTACGTCCATCTCATAAAAAACAACTTGTATGCCCAGCACAGAAGTCAAAATTTGGTGAGAGAGCTTTTGCGTACGCAGCACCAAAAGAGTGGAACAAATTGCCTCTGGAAGTCCAAAATAGTCCAAACTTAGCTATATTTAAACGACGTTTAAAAACTCTGTTTGTTACCCAAACTTTTAAACAATAATTTAAATGCTTCACTTTCCATTTGTATATTGTAACTATTCCTTTGTATTCTTTTGTTTATTTGTATATACATGTATGCTTGTTTTGTTTTTTATAATCATATCTACATTGTAAAGGGCCACAGAGCAGTCAGACTGACTGAATGTTCAGCGCTACAGAAAACGATTATTATTATTATTATTATTATTATTATTAAATCGGCCACCATTCGGTTCTCAATTCACTTATTGCTATGTAATGTTCTAAAGATGGAGAAGGATGTTTTACTTACAACGAGCTCGGTCAGGTAGGCCGGTGCACCTCCATGTATTGCCTTGAATGTGATGCACAGAATTTTGAAGATGATACGGGCATCGACTCTGAGCCAATGAAGACTGTACAGAACAGGAGTGATATGTTCACGCATTTTGGTTCTGGTCACGAGTCGAGCCGCAGAATTTTGAATAAGTTGAAGTTTCTTGATCTGCTTAGAAGAAAGGCCAAAAAGCAGACTATTGCAATAATCTAAACGAGATGTCATAAAATCATGGATCAATTTTTCAGTCGCCTGCAGGTCCAATATCTTACGAAGTTTTCCTATTCGCCACAGAGCATGGGATGCCGACCTACACAGACTGGCAACGTGAGTCTCCAAGGTACCGCATGAATCAATCATTACACCCAAATCACGAACGGTTTCGGAAGAATGAACTGTGATGTCACCCACCGGACACCACCCGAGACCCCAGCAGCCTTCTTGTACTTAGATGAGAACCAAACAAGTTCGGTTTTGTCGTCATTCAATGCTTTCATATTTGCGCGCATCCAATGACGAATCTCATCCACACAGGCCTCAACATGGACAGTACAAGAAGTGTCAGTGCGCGAGCCACAGACGATGTACAGTTGGGTGTCATCAGCATAAATTACATTGATTGAAGAGAGGTGACAGACATTTTATTTTTTATATCGATAGCGGGTGTCGAGCTGTGCATAAAACCATTTCGATATTTTGACCTACCCCCGCATCATAGAAAATAGAGCTAATTTTCGCAGGTGTATATTTTCTGTTTTAGTCGCCATATGTTAAAATTTTGCTGGTCATTACTCCCAGAGAATAAATGCGACTTTATGGTCCTCACACTAACCCCCCACTAACATCACCAACCACCAACATTTCCATCCAAACCCTAGACTCGCTACAAAAGGTGTCTGAAAATTGACCAAAAATGACCTGAAAAATGGCAACATTGGTAAAAAAATCACCCAGATCGGCCCTCCTGGCTGTGAAGTCCATAAAATCCCCGCGAGATATTTTGGTAATGAGCCTCGTCCATCAGAGAAAACATCAAGAAACTAAAAAATGTTCTTGATTGCTTGACGTTTGTTTGTTCTCTGCTTTGAAAGTGAATGAGGACGAAGTGAGCACGGCGAAGTCACTATAGGCGCTGCGAAAAGGCAGCTTTCGCCTGGTACGCGGGAGTGTGGTGAGAACGTACCCCATTCTGACAATATGCTAAATATGTGAACATGTGATCATTTTACATAGTTGTAAATTTCAGAAATGAAATCAGCGCCCCTGTAAACAGATATATTATATTGACACCAAACACTACTACTTAATCAAAATCTGGGCATGTCCAAATTCCCGCCAAAAATGGCTGCCATCTTGGAAATATGCTAAGTATGTGACCATGTGATCAATTTACAAGGTTGTAAATGTCCGAAAGTGAATCTACGACCCCGAAATCATATATACTGATACCAAACACTACTACTAATACCCCCGACAGACTGGGGTGGCGTCCTTACTGCGACGCTACGGCGACGGAAAATGGTCGCAGAGCGCGTCAAGATCGCTATAAGCGCAGTAAAAGCGTGGTGGAAACGCCAGATATTGCGCTGTGGTCTCCATGGTCGTAAATGATCGCCTAGTTACCGCGTTTGTTTTAAGCATGTCCAAAACAAACACCAAGTCTCTGCGATCTAACCTGGAAAGTTGTAATGCCCCCGTCAGACCGGGGTGGCGTCCTTAACGCGCTGCAGGCACCGTACGGCGGCCAGAAAAAGTGGAATCTGGCCGCCATCTTGGAAATATCTTCGTGAAGTGATGGGAAAAAATTTGAAATATATTCATGACCCCTGTAAATACTACTACAGTGCCAAATCACAGTTGATATGTCGATAAGATTATAGGGTGAAAATAAAAAAAAATAAGTTGGAATATTATCGAAAACGGCTACCCTCACATAATGGCCTCCCATACGATGAAGACGTACTCCAAAAAATGTCAACATTGTTTTTGTTTTTTTGTCATTAAAAATCGAAACCTTCAAAATAAAGCTTATTCCACAATTGCTACCGAAAAGCCGACGGATTTACATTAAGGATCGGACTATACATCAACTTATTATTTTATTTTCTCATGACCGTACTTCTGTCCTGATTTCGTTTCCGCGGCATATTTAACTAACCGTTCGATCATGAAATCTTTTGACCATTTGTACAAACATCAACTTATTATATAGTATTTTATTTTCTGATTTATAATTTTATTGTTTAACATACAGCAGCTGATTGAGGTAGGCATATGTTGTTGTGCACACCTTACAGGGAGTAATGACCCTGTGATCAGAGTATGAATCTTCTGACAACTCCTATTGATATTCCAAGAAGTTGTTTTTCCTTGTGCCTCCCCAACAAGTGCAAAGGCGCGGGGTGGTGATTACTAGTCACCCTGTTTTCTCTTAATAGGTCAACAATTCGGTTCCATAATAAGATTCAACTGACCCCGATAGCTACTGTCAATATCGTTATGTATATAACATATAACAAGGTCCCCGTTTCCTATCGGTAGTTGGTGTGCTTTAGAATTAGAGTTAAGTTAATTCAACATTTACGATCAACCACGGCTTTTTATTTTTGTGGTAGAATAGGTTAAAGATATCAAATTTGGAATCCCTTTACCCTAGTCTATCACAAATATTGTACTGTTATGCACCAACTGCCCTAATGAGCAATGCAGGTGTGCAATGAGAGACATTGTGTATAGATCGTGGCGTTTCCGCCTATTCGTCACCAATATCTACCTGTCAATGGTTCCTTAAAGTGCATGTTAATACGGGGTCTCATCCCAACGACTAGATGCTGTTCCTTGACAGCGCGCGCCCCCTTGCAACACTGACAAGGAGAAACCATGCTTGGAAATAAAAGAACCCGGGACCTTCTGGTCGGTGAGCATTACTCACGGAGGCATCATGTACAGTTTCAAATTATCTACCTTAATTGAATGGTTTTCATATTCATTTGTATTAATACCATTGATGTCACCAAATATACCCACATTTTCATAAGCCTCTCCTGCAAAATATCAATTATTTTAAAATACTCTATATTAAATAGTTACCCCATTTGAGTACGGATTTCTAGGATGTTTAATCAATAATTGAAACGTCTTTTACTGCAGCAAAAATAGCCGTCGGTTGCATAATTAACTACGTGCCAATGAACACTACTTTGGAGTTTACGTTGTGTAAATAAACCCATCCACAATCTCACATTGGTAAAATGAAAGTGAAAATCGGGGAAACCGAATACATTGTATATCTAATTTATGTTTATATATATCATAACATCACTGCTACATAATTTCACAGGTATGATAATATGATTCACATTATTTATAGAACATAATAACATGTAATGTACCCAGTCACCTATTTGATCTCTAAATTTCGAATATTGAGTCCTCTACGTTCCTATAACTAGATAAATTAGAAAATGCCCCCCCCCCCAACCCCAAATAAAAAGGCATTCTTTTTTGTCTTTTCTTTTGTGCAACGAGTATCCATAATTCGCAACTATCTTAGTTGTTCTCGGGTAATTACTTCCCGTAATGGGCAGATACATAATTTCAAGCATTTTTAATAGTTTGGCTAGATTTGTCGCCTGCCAAACCTCTCCTGTATAATACAACAGTTGCAACCACATAATACCCCATCATGCTCTGCTTCAATTCACATCTACCATGATAGCAACGATATTCTATTATTGTTTACGAATCAAGACATATATTTTTAGTTAGATATTTTTGACTTCAGGAAGCGAATCTACGTTGACGATTCGAAGTTTAAAAATTTATACCATAATAAATATATATATATATCAATTATTACCTTTTGATTTGTCGTTTGTTGGCTGTTTGTTTTTACCATTCCGTACTTTAGGTTTGGTATTTGTTATTTTAGGTTTGACATCAGTTGTTTTCGGTTTGGTATCCGTTTTGTTCGGTTTGCTATCATGTGGGTTAGGTTTGACATCAGGTTTGGTAGACTCCGTTGTTTCATCTGAAATACAATGGTTATAGTGTTGGGATATACACAGTATTTACGCCCGATTATCAAGGTGCCGAGCCCAACGTCTAAAAATCGAAGAAATGAAAATAGGCACATAACCTATTATATGCAGGTATTATTTTAATAGTGTCAGTTTCCGTCCGTGATCAAACGGTAGATTAGTATCATTACTGGAATTTCTTAGAAAGTATTTGTCCACGTGTCCATGTCCCCCCTAATTTTCGACAGTGCCCTTTTTTACTGCTGAAAGTGCCTTTTCTCAGACTCAAATATGTCCGTTCCCAACCCGTTGTAGGGATCCCAAATGACTCAAACCATGGACTCAAACACACCAGTCTGGGAAATAGCTCTTGGAATGGCTACAGATGCAAGGAAATGACGAATAATTTTCTTGGGGACCCCCCCCCCTCAGCGGCGTGCCCCGTCTGCGCGGTCAATGCCTTCATTTTGCAGCGCTCCCCCTTTTCAAAATTCCTAGATCCGCCCCTGGTTTTGCTAATGTTATGTGCTAACAGTTACTCGCCTGTCCTGTATTATTTTGTCCAGAACGTGGATGGTTACTTCAAAAATGCGATCGGACCTTTCCCCTTATAAATTCAGCACACCACTGTATGCACTATACGAAGGAGCATTGTCACTTAATGTTTTTGTCATGTCATCATAAATATATTTACTTTGGCCTAAACTTTTTCAAATAAAGGTACTGCATTCGGTGTTCTCCATTTTGACAGCTAAATACAGGTAATTATGGGAGCAGTGAAAATAGATACCATATATAATGTGTCAAAATTGTGTTTGAGGGTATATTATATGATGCTGTGTGTACTGGGACTGTCAGTAATATTTACTGTATTTCTACATGGCAGTTGATTTTTAAATACTTGATTTCATCAGATTTAGGTTTTTACTGCCTGTACTAATACCGTAATTTCACAGCTTTGTGTATTTATTTCCCCATAAAATTACAGATTTACTTCTAAAATGTATTAACAAAACTGCCGTCACTGGTAATATTAGAGGGGCGATTCCAATTTGCTGAAGCAAGTTATGGGTTTATTCATAAATAATTACAGTATCTATCGTCATACATCTTTTATCCATCAATTACTACATTATTAGTGATGAATCTAAAGCTCATCCTCTTACCGTTCTTAGTTTTATTTACAGTTGCATAAAGAGATTCTGGATTCGGTTTTATTTCTGTTGGTTTATTGTCTTTGTTTACTTGTGCATAGTTTGCAGTTTCATCTTTCTTAATTTCATCAGCACTGATGTAGTTCACCACCTCATCTATTACTACGATTAAATAATAATAATAATAAGAAGAAGAAGAACTAGATCTGCTAAGCAGATATGAAAGCTTTCATATTTGCTGTCACATGTCAAGGGTCATATATAGAATCTCAACAAGATAAAAAAAAACAATTAAAATCGGTCAAAAACTGGCGACGTTAATGCGATTTTTCACTCGTAAACAACTCTGTCGGCACGAAAAACGTCAAAGGCAAAATTCGAAATTGTGACATTTTCAAATACTATAAATTGGACCCTGATCCCGGCTATCCACAAATGTATTCATTTTCAAAATAGGAGACGTATTCTTCAAACTACGGCCTATTGTTTTCATTTTCATGTCCGTTATCGTCGATTTTTCACTTTTTCTCATATTCAGTTCAAAATGGTGACCATCAATTGACCTAAATCAAAATTCTAATCCGATAGATTTTTAGGCATTCCTTCAAGGATTCAGAAAATGTAACTCCCATGTCTAGCCGTAAATTGACGAACGGCAGGAACCGTGTCAAGAACAAAGGACCTGAACGAATGCAGGTATCGCCTTGAAATTTTCAGGGCACCTATGTACCAACGTGAAAAGTTCCTCGCGGAATTTGGTAGTCCAGCGTGGCGCATGCGCAAAGTCAAAAGAAGTTGCGGTGGATTTTGGGTGGATTTCGGAGTGGTTTGGGGGATTTCGGGTGCTTCCGTGAGGTCGGGTGGATCTAAGATGGCGGCCATAATACAATAACAAGTGTTGGAGAACTTTTGCAACCGGGGTTGATTTTCAATGCACAGGCATCGTTCCGGTGGTCCGATTGCCTTCAAATTTGCACATAATGTACCGTGGGTTTCTAAATATCACATATTTAAAATAAAGAGTGTGGGATTCCGAGAACGTTGAAAATAAATTCGAAGCCCACCCCCACCCATCAATGTTTTTTTGCTTAATAAATTGCCGTATTTTATCGATTTTTTATTGTTCTTGATATCTGAGCATTTTCTCCTTTTAATATGTGATAAATATCATCGCGGCGCAGCCAACCGCTAGAAATTCCAGAGATTTTGACCACCGGAAGGGTGCCTCAGCAGTCAAAAAAGGTCAAAAAAGGCGATTTCGGATTTTAGTGTCGCAAACATCGTTCCGGTCATTTTAAAAAATTGTCTTTTAAGGATAATGTGTATAGTACTAATACCTATCACATAGGGAAGAGGCGATAAAATCCCTGTGCATTTACAATTTCAAAATTAATTAAAACTAATATTAAATTCCGAAAATCGTTTCTTTTTTTTTTTTTGCTAAAACTTTTTTTTTAATCGGATCAAAATGGGAGTAAAGCACAGAGTCCGGGTGGTAATGGGCGTATTGTGTCCAAATTTCATGGTTTTCGGACGATCGGTACCGGTGTCGTGGCGAAATTCGACTTTTTTCTCCTTATAGAAGCCGTAATTGGACTTTGAAAAAAAAGTGACCTGGAGTCGTGCCAAGAACAAACGACTTGAAGGAATGCAGGTATCGCCTAGGTATCAACGTGAAAAGTTCCTCGCCGGAATTTGGTACTCATGCTACCTTTGGTTCCAGCGTAGCACATGCGCGAACTCAAAAGCAGCTAAATACGTTGTTATGGTGGATTTATTTTTAAAAAAATGGTCCCATCTCTTCGAAACTTCGGGTACCCCCCCCCCCCCCATTTCCGAGCTCGGGTCATTAAAAAATGGTCTCAAAATTAAAATCGAACACCTAGTTCCATCTCTATTTTTTGTTTAACTTTATGTACCCCCGGGAACATAGCCACCGCTTGCCCCCCATTGGTCTGGCCCAAAAATTTATTTTTTGGAATTGTGCTTGGGACCATAGGCCAGGTACCTGGTGAGTGTCAAGTTGATGTGCGCGCGCGTACACGCGAAAACATCCTTGTCGACAAGAAAACATCAGAGGGGAAATTCCAATTTTTTAAAATTTTCAAATACCAAACATTCGATCATGAGCCTGGCTATCCTGAAATGTATTAATTTCGGTAATAGGAGACAGATTCTCTAAGCCACGACCAATTGTGTATGTTTTCAAGCCTATTAATGTGGATTTTTCACTATTTTTCATTTTCAATTCAAAATGGCGTCCATCATTTGCCAGAAATCAAAATTCTACTTGCTACATTTTACGGGATTTCCTTCAAGGATTCGAAAAATATAATTCCCTTGTCTGTAAGTAAAATATCAAAAAAGACCTTAGCGATATTTCACGATGGTGGCACTTCCAGATTGGGCTACAAACTCCAATTTTTGTTAACGAATCAGAAGTGTCGTAGCTAGTACAGAAAAAAAAATCAAGGCAATCTGACCTATATTTAGTCAATTTTTGGGAAAACTTTAATCCTTTATTTCTCTAAGGGGAGATAAGTTATGGAATTTTTAATGGTATCGTTGAAGTTGGGTCAATGAGATCTACATAGATTCCAAATTTCATGAAAATCGTACCAATATTAAAGAAGTTGTCAATTCTGTTTTACTTCCGGGATGAAATGTCAACGACGTAATTTTCGAAATTCGAAAATCCGAAATAGCAGATTTAAAGTAAATACTTCAAGAATCTCAAAGAAAAAAGAATTAGTAAAATAGGTCACATAGTCACAGAGTTATGGGTATGTAAGTCAATTTCTTCGTTCGTAAAATTCGGTGATTTCGGATTCGTGAAAAGTTTTGAAAATATATTCAATCAAAATCTACTACCCATTTTTGGCGGGGGTAGGTCAGAGTTTCAGAAAGATCCTATGGTTAGATTCTGAGAGATCCGATTTGCAAAAGTGCACAAAAAAAAATAATAATAATAATCTTAACAAAAACAATAAGCTTTCATATAAAATATAAAGCTTAATAATAATAATCTTAACAAAAACAATAAGCTTTCATATAAAATATGAAAGCTTAATAATGATTATTTATATTGTGCACATTCCGTTTATATGGTATGCTCATGGCACAGGTTGTATAGGCTCTTCAGTTTTATAGTTCACTGTATATAATAGGATTTAAACATATGAGATTTTAAACGTTGCGTTAGAAAGCGGTAATTTTGTGACCTTTGGGTGCGTTTGGGGATATATTCCGGTAGCATTGAGCCCACATATCCGCGTGCTGTTCCGTTTTAAGATTTGTCGTCCATACAAGGTGTTGAAAATGAATTTTGTGAGTGATTGGTAGCCAGTGTAACACATGTGTAATAAGACAGTTTCTGTCTGATCTGCAGACGATCCTTGCTGCAGTGTTTTGCACAATTTAAAGTAAGTTTGTTGATCCGGTTTTTCTACCTTGGTCACAGGGGCTCTAAAATCTCAAATCATTCTACTGGAAGTATATAACATGAACTATTGGGTAATGCACAGAATGTTGACCGATATTTAGGTCCTTTATCCTGAAATAAGTCTTTAGGAGGTTGTTCAGGCATTAACATTTGGAATTGGCCACATCAACGGTTGTTATAGATAGGGTATTAAAAGCTTTATGAACAAAAAGAAAGAATATTTACTCATTCTCCCTGGCTGTCTACTTGGAACTTCTACCAGGGGCCTAAAATAAGAATTTTGAATTATTAATTATATATCAAAGTACAACAAAAGTTAATTAGCTATTATCTGTCTGTGCGTATCATCTTGATATTGAATGAAAAATGTCATTCAAAGCAAACCTTGAACTTCACTGTGCTAGGATAATAGAAATTAGCACAAGACTTGATGAAACTGGAACCAAAGTCATAGTCTTTTCGAAATGAATAGTATCTGTTCTAGTCTCGTTTATGCCTCTATGGGATGAGTGAGTTATTAGCATGGTTAACTTATGTGAGAATTATGCATAGAATTCATGTCTAATATGGAGATGGGAGACCAAGGTACTAATTCCTAACATGGAGATAGATTTCCACATTTGGCCAGAAAGATATTTTACGTCACTGGCGGTACATTCCGCCGGGAAGTTTGATTAAACAAAGGGGGGCCAAATGACGGTGGCTAAGTGGGTAAGACGCTGGCTCGCTAGCCTGGAGGTCGGCTGTTCAATCCTTCCATTGGCCGAGAAAGTTCATCCAGATTTTCCGGCGTTGTTCCCCACTATGTCAGTGATGCAGGACGGGGGGGCCAGACAAGAACAGCTGTCTAGTCGTTCGGATTGGACGAAAAACCGAGGTCCCATGTACGTATTGGCGTGCACGTAAAATATATAAGAGTAAACCGTAGTGTCGCTGTCCGGGCAAAATTCACCTCATAGCACACTGTATAGCGTATGCCAGTCTTCATTAGCCCACTTCGGAGCAGAACAGTAGGACGTTAAACCCCATTTCATTTATCTATTCATGTAGCATATCATGTAATGTTCTGTCTAATAAAACTTGTTTACGAGTTTGCAACCAATATTAAGCAGCGGTCATGATATTATTACAAAACATAATTACATGATTGGTTACTGCATTTACACAAAATACAACTTACCCCATAAAATAATCCGTCTGGATGCAAAAAGTAGAAATAAACAATATTTATCGGGCATATATATTCAAACGTCATGCATTACATAATAATATATGTTTGTAGATACCCGCTTATTGATATGGACTACCAAATTATCAAACTATTGACATAGCGGAAAAACACACTGTAAACCTTTTTAGAATCATCTTTGGTTATCGTTGAAGACTTGAAAGCATTATTATGTGGTAGGAGGCTTGGTCATGACACTGCAGTGTCAGAATTCTGCAACTTCTGAAGATACACGAGTTGTCTCTCAACTACAAGAAAGCGTATAGGTTATGTGCAATGTGTATAATATAATGTGTTGGTATAAACAAAACTACTACTTACACGTTGTGTCTGTTTTCTGTATCGTCATCTGTAACATAAGCATACACAGACAGTGTACTATATAGCTACATACTAATTTATAAATTGCAGCCTGGACATCAACAAACGTAATGTCTAAATGTTAGCAGTTTTTGCATTCCTTTGTAATGTTTTTCAATATGTTAACCATTAATTACAATATATCAGGTTCTTTCCTTTATTTCCAATTTGGTGGGTATAAAAGTTCTTCTTGGTGGTGGAATCATATAGCTTAACATACCATTTGAATTAGCACTTGTTCGTCTACAATTATATGATTTGTAAGTTAATCCCTAATGTGAGAATCCAGATGATTAGCATTATCCACATTTGGGAATTCAAAACGTATATACTGGATTTCATGATAAACTTACTTTGTTTTCTGTGTCTTTTGATAAGGACAACCACAACTACAACAACCAGAATGGCTGCCACAACTCCTCCAATAATTCCACCTATTAATCCCCAGTTAGATCCTGGTCCTGGTGAGTCTACTGAAATATAAGGATTTGTGTTAATATAAGGATTTATGTTAATATAAGGATTTTATAATAGTAAAAATAAAAGGACATTGTACGAGACTATTTAATTTTGGATAAAATACCTTGGTATTGTGAGTATTTGAAAAACTGTCCATTTTTCCGGTGAACATGAAATTATAGTTTAGTTACTTAGGCCCATATTTTCGAACAGTGTCTAAAATAATCTGTGATTAGGTCTAATCAGTAACTAGCTAGTTAGAGATTAGTGGTTGACTAAGTTTGGTATTCTCAAAAGTCAGATTAGCTAATCTTTGACTATAATTTTTTGTAATCAACGATTAAAATTCATGTTTAAACTTTGATTATAATTAAACATTTAATCAATGATTATATATAATATAGTTTGTTCTGTATCTAGTCTTCCTACCTATCTTTAAAGTGCGTATTGTAGAAGAACCATCGGATGATATCAGATAAACTGGTTGACTATCACCATAATTATTTTTAGCTATAACTCTAATATAATATGGTGTATCAGCTTGTAGATTCTCTATACAATAATCAGGTTTAGATTCTGGTAGAGGTGTAGAACTAGTCCAGGTTTTATTATCTACTGAATGTTGAACAATAAATTCCTGTTGATCTCCACCATCAAATCCTGGTGTCCATGTAATACAGATACTGTCATGACGTGTCGCTGATGAGTTGGTATTAAACGGTACATCAGGTTTAGCTGAAACTGATTTTTCAGCAAGTGATTAATGTCATTTTATCACCCAATAATATATTCTACAGTAGACATCGCTTGTGTGATAAATTTCATAATCTACTGCGATATATCCTTAGGAGATATCGTTTTACATGAATTTGATTGTAGGGTGACCCACCATAAATAAATATCTGCTAATATCTCGACAATTACGCCACAATATTTATATATATACCAAGCCTTAAATCAGTTTTACACAATTATAGTCACTAAATAAACGATCATGATGTACTTAATAAGCTATGATCATTTAATCATCTATAAATAATAGACTGAAACTAGTTTCAAGTTTCGTCCATAACATCCAGACACTTTTGAGTAAAAGATAGGTTACGTGCCCTTGTTTTGAAATTAGTCTCGCTTAACCAGTGTACCGACCATTCTACGTCTGATTGACAGGTCGGGATAATCAAGACTACTTTTTTACGAAACATAACAGAATGCTGGAACAAGAAATTGAAATTAGAAACTCGCACGTTAGCCAGCTCAACAATTGTTTTAAGAAACTTGTAAATGTAAAATGAAACTACTGCTAGTATCATGTTCCTGCTAACGAAAGTGATTCAGAGATATTATTTGTACTAAACCAAAAGATGCCGCTCTCAACGGTACAGTTAATGATAAAGCAATTTAAAAAATAAAACGAACGTAATTTTTAAAGCTGCTGTAATAACCAAGAAGCTAAATTTTACTGCTATTCAAAATCGTCAACAATAGATTTTTTACGGCTGTAATAGTTGATAGATTTGTAGAGAATTGCACGTGCCATGGCTATTTATAGACCATACACTCCACCGCTGATAGTTCGAGACAACCACTGAAGCGTGCACATTAGCCGTGTCGAGACCAACTTTCTGTAGAGTGCACGGGTCACCCTATGATTGGTCAATTAAAAAGGAACTACTTTTTTTATTTTCAAAGAACAGTTCATTTTTTATTAAAAGTAACTTTTTTCTTATTAAAAAAGAATAATTTTTATTTAATTGACTTTGATGGAAACACTTGGTCAATATAAAGGACTTTGCAGTGACTGAATTGCTGCCAGAAAGTGATGTATCACTACGCCGTAATGCAGTCGGGTTCAGTAAAATTGAAATCTATAGCAACGAATTATACTTATTTATTTGTGCATGTAAGAAAGGATTGAGTGATAAATAAATCTCCCACTTGTCTTTTTTGATATCAAAAAATATTACAGCCTCGTTTTTTTTATACTTTATCGACTTGTGTTGATATTTTTTGATATCAAAAAAGACTCGTAGGAGATTCTCTATATAATACATGCGTAATGCATGTGTTTATATATTTTGAAATTGTTCAGTTTGTGTTAAAAGCATGAAGCTTAGCAAGCATATACGGTTTATATGCTGATCATTTTACAATGTGCGGTCACTTGGGTCATCAATGCCAAATTAAACATTTGAGGTTTAAATTATCTGAACGTCATTGAGGAATATAAAGGTTTAATCTAATCCATAAAAAGTAATATATATTATGGTTCCTTTTCGTTTAGCATTTACAAAGAAACCATGATTTGAAAATACGTCAAACTTTGAAATTCGAAATCTACTGTAGACAGACTAGGGCCACCTTTAATAGGGCCGCTAAGTCACGCGACGATTTCTTCGGTAATCTACTTCCGGTGACATGCACCGCGCATGGCGGAAAATACGATGCTTCGCAAAGCATTGAATGTGAATCAATGATGTGTTTGCGGCACCAATTACTTTTGCTTTACAAAAGAAAAATAACAGATATTTTAGTTTGTTTATCAAGGTATGTAAATCAATTATTTAAACATATATCTTAATAAAATATTTCATTTTAATCTCGAAATAGTAGGCCCTACGGCCCAAGCCTTGGTTTTACAGTTTTAGCCTTTTTCGATAGGTAGCGGTCTGAGTTAGATTTGTTTACAAACAAACCCCATTACCAGTGCATTATTCCTCCGCCTGCACATTCAGTGCTTCGTAAATTTTAATTTTAATTTCTTGATTGTTATATAAAGTTAAAAGAATTATTCCCATGGGTTATAATTAAAAGTACCGGTAATGCCAATTTGGAAAATATGTTATTATAGTAGGCCTACTTGTGTTTTAAAATAAAAAAAACCCTCAAGTACATACGCTCACGTATTACGATCTCCCTTGAATTTTTCGACAAGTTAAAACTTTACTTAGTTAGATGTGTTTTATTTTAGCAGATTGGTGGATTATAATATGATGGTGAGGAAATGTTCAAGTTTTTAGCGCAGAGAGGATGGGCGAAAAACGGCCGTAGCACACGTGGACTGTGTTCTGATTCAAGAAGTAGGTAATTTGTCAAATAAAGAATATGGACGAATATTAAAATTAAAATATTTAATTTTACTTAGTCTAGGCCTATATTCAGTATAATTTAGTACCTTTTTGCAATTTATGGTTTTACTTGACAGACCGATCTCACGGCATTTTCCGAAGATTTGTAAAAAAAAAAATAATACTAGGCCTCATGAAGATTTTTCATTTTGTGAAGATTTGTGAGGTTTAAAAATTAAATATTAGTTTCTCATGATCTATATAGGGCTTGCCTTTTTTTTTAAAAAAAAAATGATCAGTTCTCAAAAAAGTCCCGATAAGCAGGCAGAATATCTCTCTGCATTTTGTGAGGAATTGTAAAGTTAAAATTATATAGGCCTACTAGGCCTCATGATATAGGCCTACATGTACCTGTTTCTAAAAACCGTGATCAGCTGTCAAAAAACACTGTCACAATATACAGGCATTTTATGAAGATTTGTAAACTAAATTTAAAATAATACTAGGCCTTGGGATATATATAGGCCTATATATTTCTAAAAAAATGGTGATCAGCTCTCAAAAAAACCCTGTCACAATATGCAGGCAGGATATCTCACAGCAGTTTGTGAAAAAAAAAACAGTGATCAACTATCAAAAAAAGTAAATAAGGACACACGATATGCAAGATTTTTAATTATATGGCAACACATTTGTCTAATTTATTACATTTTTTTCCCCAGGTGAAGGAAAAGGGAAAAACGTTTGTGTCAGGTTATACCAGAATTAGAAAGAACTTGGTTTTCTGTTAAAGGTGGGCATATACGGTTCTAATTGTGACGGAATTCTAACACGAGTTAGGAAATGAAATGAAAGGAAATGGGGTTTAACGTCGTACTGTTTTGCTTCGAACTGGGCTAATGAAGACGGGCATACGCCATACAGTGTGCTATGAGGGAAATTTTGCCTGGACAGCGGCACTACGGCCTACTCTTATATCGAATTCCAACTGCCAAGGGATCTTTTATGTGCACGCCAATGTGTACACGGGACCCCGGCTTTTCATCCCATCCGATCGACTAGACAGCTTTCCTTTTCAGCCCCTCCGTCCTGCATCACTGATAAGGGAGAACCTGAATTAATAAAAATTCAGTTTTTGTTATAAGTTATGCCTAAATTAAAGGCAGTTCTCAGATTTCATAGGCTACGACTTTACAGATTGGTTTATAATCAAATCAAACTCAATGCCAAGAAAGTACCACCGAGTTCAGGTAGTTCGAATTTGTACAAGACTTTGATAAAGGTTTTTAAAGAGTTCCTTTAGGCTTCAACCAGCATCTTTGTATTTTCCCAAAAAGGCCCTAATTTATGTACAAATCCACCCCTTTCATGACATCAATCTGATATTCATTATAATGTTATTCTTCTCACAAAGAAATAATATTCCAAATTCCACTGATATTCTGCTTAGCTGCACATTATTCTCCAATTGGTTAAAATTATTTAAATTTAATTTAAAAACAAAATACTCAGCTAAATCTACAGCTTATTATTTTGCCTTTTTATTAATTCCAAAACTTTGTAAAATAATAAGTATAAGGGTGCTCACTTCAATATATTACTTAGAAACACTTTTCGAAGTTCAGTCGTTTGGGAAGTGGATGAATGTGTATATGACTATTCTAAGTCAAAAGACAATCCGTAATATATTATGCGTGAATGAATACAGTAGACAATAGTGCTTGGTATGTACGCGTAAGCCGCTCGATCGATGTGACAGCCCAAGCCCAGTGCCAGTACTGTTTTGCCGACAATATTGTCCCCGGTATTTAACTTTATATATTAACCAGTCACTACATTATTATTATTCAATCGCTTGATTTATATTTTCTCAAATAAATGGAACGATGACTAGATTGTACAAATTATAGGCCTAACTAATGATAATGGATTTTCAACAT